ATGGTACCAAAGACAGCTTGCAACTCTCTGGGTCTGGCAGAAGTAAGGATGACTCACTCTTGTAGAAATACCTTTGTGGGCCCATCAGAGAGGAGCATTACTGGGAATTTCTCTCCTAAAGTTTCCTTGACTTGGGCAGATGCTTCTCCATGCTGGGTGATCACTTGCAACTCCCTCCGTCACCCTTAAGCATTAGGCCTTTTTTCTCAAGTTGCTGTTTCCCTATAGGCAGCTCCCTTTGAATACAAAGGTCCCTGCCGGAGGAGGACAGGTCCTTGGGTGGCCTTTTTCAACCCAGCTCTCTCCTCTCCAACTTGTAGTTCTCAGAATAACTGCAGAATTTGTGCAGAATGCATTACCACAAGAAAAAAGAAACAGACTACAATAGACAGAGCTATGTCCCTTCTAGAACAGGATATGCTGCAACACTTGAGCCCAAGGAGCAAGGGACACCCAAGGTGCAAAATACAGGATGATGTGCTGTGGGGGTCCCTTGGCTGTAGTGCAACGTGGGACACACAAAGACAAGACTCTGTCAACACTGGACAGCTTTCCTGAGCCCTGGGGAACCAGCTCACCATGGATCCCAGACTATGTTTTTGCTGCCTATCAGTGAATAATAAATTTGCTTTGCCTGACTTGTGAAAATACCGTCTCACACTGTACTCATGCAAAGAGTAGAAAACCTTTGCATCTGCTAGTACCTTCCACGTCTAGACCACAAGAAACAATCATGCATTCCCCGTCACCTACAATAAACCCTGGGGTAAACAACTCTCCTGACTTCACAATCAGCACTGGCAGCCCAGGTAAATACTTTCTATTCATGAAGATACTAGGGTTCTGGTATTGTGGAACAGGTTCTGGACCATTTTGTACCTGCAGGGTAGGGTGTGTGTTACATTACACATTTTGTGACAAAGCTTTAACTAGTTCTATAATTCCCCATATTAAGTAGTTAGGCTTCCGGAAAATTGCTGAACTAACATAATGAAGACTGACGCCACTGTGATTTGCAGACCCTTATGATTTTTATTTACTTCATGACACATACAAGCATCTTGGGAATAATAGAGGCAGCATCTTAATTTCAGGCCAAATAATATTCATCCAAGTTTACAAACGTCAAATACTTTATAAAACTTTTCACAGATCTTCTTCCTTAATAATGTAACCCCCAATAATCAGAATCTTAAAATAGGGACTTTGAGAATTGTTATACCTCAGAAATATCTTCTGGTGATCATGGAATGCTTAAAATGCTAACATAACTAGCTCAAGCCAATGAATACTTGAAAGTAGCCAAGTAAGCCTAAGCACACCAGATCTCTTGATGATTGACCCAGTGCTCCAAGCCCGAGGGCTCCCCATTGACATCTAACACCAGCAGAGGCTGTGATCAGGGAGCAATGTCTGCATGGGTATGAACTAGAGGAGTGATTGCATGCACGTAGCATATTTACCATCACAGATCTAGATGCAGTGTATTGAGCCACATATACACAATGGCAGGGAATCTGCCATCCCAAAATATTAGGAAGAGGAAATAGAAGAGAAAAAGAAAGACTGTATATTTTTGCTTGTTGCCAGTTTTACAAGAAACCTTAGCTTTCCAGAGTCTTTCATCTATCAACTTAAAGGAGCTTGGAATCGAGAAATCTACTAGCAAGAGATAAACAGAATAAAATCTGTAATTTGTAACAACATGGATGAAAATGAAGGACACTGTGTAAAGCAAAATAAGCCAGGCAAGGAAAGGCAAACAACATCATATGGTTTCATTCATATGGAGAGCTAAAAGAACTGATCTCATGGAAGCAGAGAGGAGAATGATGGTTACCAGAGTCTGGGAAGGGAGCTAGGGAGGCGGAGGATAAAGAGGGGCTCGTTAATAGGTACAGAAATGCGGTTAAAGAGAACGAATAAGATCCAGTGTTCTGTAGCATAGTAGGGTAGCTAACAGTAACATTGTGTATTTCACAATAACTAGAAGAGTGAAACTGGCATGTTCCTAAAACAATGAAATGATAAATGTTTGAGCTGATGGATATCCCAATTACTCTGATTTGATCATTAAACATTGTAACACATGAACCCCCATAAATACATGCAACTCTTATATATCCATAAAAATTCTTTAAAATCTTTTTAAATAAATAAATCTTTTAAAAATAAATAAACAAAAGAGGGGAAGGCAGAGTAAGATGGCTGAATCAACTAACGACACAGAAAAAACACCCTAAGAACCAAAAATCAGGTGAGCACTCACTGTACCTGGTTTTAACTTCATATTGCTGAAACAGGCACGAAAGAGGCAGAAGAAACAAACTTGACTCTCAGACGCCACCCCTTCCTCTCCCTCAGTAGCAGCAGCAGCAGCAGTGTGGTGCGGAGAGCATCTCTGGGTGCTGGGGGAGGAGAGCACAGCAATTGTGAGGACTCAGTGCTGTCCTGTCACAGCAGAAAGAAAACATGGACCAAACAGCTGACACCCACAGAGGGAGCATTTCAACCGGTCCTAGCCAGAGGGGAATTGCTCACCCCAGCGGTCCAAACTTGAGTGCTGGCAAACCTCACCACTGAGGGCCAAAGTATGCTCAGTGTTTAAGTCAACTTGAAAGGCAATCTAGGCCATAAGGACTGCAACTTTCAGGAAAGTCCTAGGCTGAACTAGGCTCAGAGACAATAGACTGTGTGAGCATGCAACATACTGAGACACCAGCTGGGTCAGCCAAGGAAGTGCTGGCATCGCCCGCCCCTAAACCCGGACTGCACAGCTTGCAGCTCCAAAAGAGACCCCTTCCTTCCCCTTGAAGAAAGGAGAAGAAAGACTAGATGACTTTGTCTTGCATCTTAGATACCAACTCAGCCACAACAGGGTAGGATACCGGTCAAAGTTGTGAGGCTCCCTTCCTGGGGGCCTCGTACCCTAGGCCAGAAGGGAACCCGTTGCCTTGAAGGAAAGGACATAGTGCTGTCAGCATTCATTATCTGCTAACTGAAGAGCCCTTGGGCCCTGAATAACCGGCAGCAATATCCAGTTAGTACATTAAGAGCCATGGGTGAGCCACTGCGACTTGCTGGCTTTCGGTGAGGCTCTGCACACTACCAGGTGTGGTGACTATAGGGCAAAACTCCTCCCACGGGAGAAAAGCAGAGGGAAAAGTAAAGGGGACTTTGTCTTGCACCTTAGGTACCAACATCACCACAAGGGGGAAGAGCACCAAGTGGGATCTTGGGGTCCCCAACTCCAGGACTTGACTCTTCCATGGCATTTTTGGACATGCCCTGGGCCAGAAGGGAGCCCACTGCCCTGCAGGGCGAGTCCGAGGCCAGGCAGCATTCACCACAAGCTGACTTAAGAGCCTTGGGCCTTAAGGATGTTGGGAAAAGCAGCAAAGGAGAAAGGACTTTACAGAGTGCCTACATAAACTGGTTTGGAGTAACATATAAACAAGGAACAACAAACTGTGCAAGGCCACGGGAGGCCTCTGAGGAGGAAGTCCCCTCCATGCCTCGTGTTCCAGTGCAGGGTAACCTCTGCCCTGTTACGACAAACATTGTACTCAAGGAGGTAAAACTCCTTTGTAGCACTATGACGTAGTCAGACTTGTAGGCTCCTTGTCAGGCCCACATTCCACCAGCTGCACATAGATAATAGGCTAAAGCTTGTTTTGTGAAACTCCCAAACTACCACTGTTATCAATCCTTAGAATGACACACCAGTTCCAGCTCAGTGATTCACTCCACCATCACGCCACCCCTACCCTATAGATCAAAGTATTGTAATCAATAAATAGTGTGGATAATCAGAGCTTGGGGCCTTCACTGTCTCCTCTAGTAATGAGTAATGGCCCCCTGGTCCCACTTTCTTAATCTTTTTCTCATTCCTTTGTTGCCCCTGAACTCGGGGGTACCCACGGGTGATGTAGGGCTGGTTCCCTACAAAGGGAACAGTGGTGGTAATCTGGCAGTACTCCTCACGGCCTAGGGTGGTGGTCCTTTGGGCTGAGGCTCCTGTGCCTTTGGAAAGGGAAGGGAACAGTGGGAAGGACCCTGTCTTGTGGTTTAAGTGCCAGCTCACCCACAGTACAATAAACCACCAGTCAAATCTAAGGTTTTTGCCTCTAGTCCCTGACTCCTGGCACTTCTGGACCCACCCAGAGTCTGAGAGACCTGGCCGCCCTAAAGGGAAGAACACAGGCCTGGCTGACTTTGCCATCTGCTGACTGTAGAGCCCCAGGGCCTTGAACAACCCTCGACAGTAGACAGGGAGTGGTTAGAGCAGGTCTTGGGTAAGATCCAGCTCTGTGCTGGCTTCAGGTCTGACCCAGCACAGTCATAGCGGTGGTCACACAGGGGTGCTTGTGTCACTCTACCCCCAGCTTTAGATGGCTCAGAACAGAGAGAGAAAAACTCTGTATGTTTAGGAAAAAGTAAGGGAAGAGAACAAGAGTTCCTGCCTGGTAATCCAGAGAATTTTCCTAATTTTTGTCTAAGACCATTAAGGCTGTACCACTACAAGTATGCAAGAACCACAGTGTTACTGGGCTTGCAGTACCCCCTTTGATGTTTCCAAGCACAAACAACTTAGACCATAACAACCAAGTCCTTAATATCTGGAAAGCCTTCTCTGGAAGGATGGCTACAAATAAGCCCAGACAGTGAAGACTGAAATAAATACCTAATTCTTCAATGCCCAGACACTGAAGAACATCTACTGGCATCAACATTATTCAGGAAAATACGACCTCACCAAATGAACTAACTAAGATACCAGGAACTAACCTTGGAGAAACAGACATATGTGAACTTTCAGACAGAGAATCCAAAGTAACTGTGTTGAGGAAATTCAAATAAATTCAAGGTAACACAGAGAAGAAATTCAGACTTCTATCAGATAAATTTAACAAAGAGAATGAAATCATTAAAAAGAATCAAGCAGAAAATCTGGAGCTGAAAAATGCAATTCACATATGGAAAAAGGCATCAGAGTCCTTTAATACAGAATGGGTTAAGCAGAAGAAAGCATTAATAAGCTTGAAGATAGACTATTTGAAAATAGCCAGAGGAGACAAAAGAAAAATGAAAAAATAACAAAAACAAAAACAGAAAACATGCCTACAGGATTTAGAAAATACCTTCAAAAGAGTAAATCTAAGAGTTTTTGGCCTTAAAGAGAAGGTAGAGAAAAAGACAGGGGTAGAAAGTTTATTCAAAGAAATAAGAACAGAGAACTTCCCAAACCTAGAAAAAGATATCAATATCCAAATACAAGGTTATAGAACACCAAGCGGATTTAACCCAAAGAAGACTACCTCTATGCATTTAATAATCAAACTCCCAAAGGACAAGGATAAAGAAAGGATCTTAAAAGCAGCAGGACTGGCAGCAGATTTTTCAATGGAAACCTTACTTACTTACTAAAGACTCTTAGGAGAGAGTAGCATGACATATTTAAAGTGTTGAAGGACAAAAACCTTTTACCCTAGAATAGTTATCCAGTAAAAATAACCCTTCAAACATAAAGGAGAAATATTTTCCCAGAGAAACAAAGGGCTAAGGGATTTCATCATTACCAGACCCGTCCTACAAGAAATGCTAAAGAAAGTACTTCAATCAGTAAGAGAAGGACACTGATGGGCAATAACAACCTGAAGGTACAAAGCTTGCTGGTAATAATAAGTGCACAGAAGAACACAGAATATTAGAACATTGTAACTGTGGTATGTAAACTACTCTTTCTACGACTCCTAAGTAGAAACACTGAACAATAAACCAATCAAAAATAATAACTGCAGCAACTTTTCAAGATATAGTACAATAAGATATAAATAGAAACAACAAAATGTTAAAAAGTGGGGGGGATAAGTAAAGGTTAGTTTTTATAGTTTTCCTGGCTTGTTTTTTATGCAAGCAGTATTAAGTTGTTATCAGGTTAAAACAATGGATTATAAGATATATTTGCAAGCCTCATGATAACCTCAAACCAAAAAAACATACAATGGATACACAAAAAATAAAAAGCAAGAAACTAAATCATATCACCAGAGAAAATCATTTTCACTAGAGGAAGACAGGAAAGAAAGAAGGAAGAGAAAAACACAAAACAACCAGAAAACATGTAACAAAATAACTGTAGAAAAGTCCTTACCTATCAATGATAACATCAAATGCAAATGGGCTAAACTCTGTAATCAAAAGACACAGACTGGCTGAATGAATGAAAAAACAAGACCCATTGATCTGTTGCCTACAAGAAAAACACTTCACCTATAAAGACACATATAGACTGAAAATAAAAAGACAGAAAAAAATACTCCATGCTACAGAAAAGCAAAAAAGAGGAGTTGCTATGTTTATATTTGAGAAAAAGATTTTGAAACAAACCATTAAGAGACAAAAAGTCACTATATAATAATAAATGGGTCAATTCAGCAAGAGAATATAACAATTTTAAATACATATGCACCCAGCTCTGGAGCACCCAGATATATAACGGAAGTATTATTAGAACAAAAGAGAAAGATAGACCTCAATACAATAACAGCTAGACACTTCAACACCTCACTTTCAACGTTGAACAGAACTTCTAGACAGAAAATCAACAAAGAAATATCAGTCTTAATCTGCACTACAGACCAAATGGATCTCAGATATTTATAGAACATTTCATCCAAGAGGTACAGAATACATTCTTTTTCTCGACATATGGATCATTCTCAAGGTTAGACCACATGTTAGCTCACAAAATAGGTCTTAAAACGTTTGAAAAGTTGAAATACTATCAAGTATCTTCTCTGACCACAATGAAATAAAACTAGAAATTAATAACAACAGGAATTTTAGAAACTATACACATACATGGAAATTACACATTATGTTCCTGAATGACCAATGGGTCAATAAAGAAATTAAGAAAGAAATTGAAAATTTTCTTGAAACAAATGACAATGGAAACCAAACATAGCAAAACCTATGGGATAAAACAAAAACTAGTACTAAGAGGAATGTTCATAGCAGTACATCAAAAAAAGAGGAAAAACTTCAAATAATCTAACAATGTAACTTAAAGAGCTAGAAAAGCAAGAGCAAACCCAAACCCAATATTAGAACAAAAGTAATAATAAAGATCAGAGCAGAAATAAATGAAATTTAAAACAAGGCAAAAGATCAATGAAACAAAAAAGTTGGTTTTTTGAAAAGTTAAACAAATTGACAAACTTTTAGCCAGACTAAGAAAAAAAGAGAGAAGATCTAAATAAATCAAATCAGAAATAACAAAGAAAACATTACAATTGATATTGAGGAAATTCAAAGGATCATTGGTGGTTACTATGAGCAACCAATTGTCAAAGACAAACATTTTATGTTATCATTTATATGTGGGATCTAAAAATTACAACAACTGAACTCATAAACATAGAGAACTGTTTATCTTTACTTTTTCTGCCATGAAGACATGGATAAATTTATCATAGTTTGACAGATTATAGTTAGTATGTTCAAGATCCGCAGATTTAAGAAGTTCCTCATAAAGATTAAAACTCTGACATCAGAAGCAGCCTCTACTGTTAATGCTGCAACTTAGAAGTATTATAACTGGTAGGTATAGGTAGTAAAATCTGGACTAATGAAAATAGTGATTCTGAAATGTAGAGGAGAAGGATGAGTACCAGGGGCTGGGAAGGGTAGTCAGGGGTTTGCAGGGTGGGGAAAGTGGACATTAATGGGGACAAAAAAAAGTAGAAAGAATCAATAAGACCTACTATTTGATAGCACAACAGGGTGACTATAATCAATAACAACTGTACATTTTTTAGTAACTTAAAGAGTGTAATTAGGTTGTTTGCAACTCAATGGCTAAATGTTTGACAGGATGGATACTCCGTTCTTCATGATGTGCTTATTTCACATTGCATACCTGTATCAAAACCTCTTATGTATCCCATAAATATATACACCTAAAACACACCCACAAAAACAAACAAAAAAAAAACAAATAAATAAATAGTTGAATTAAAAAAAAAAGAGAGATAAATGGTACCATGCTGTTCTTGCATTCACCTTATCTGAGAGAACAATTTCATGGCCAGGTAAAATTTGGCATCTGAAATAAACTGTTTTTCTTTTCAAGCCAGAATTTGCAGCACAACAGAGTGATTACAGTAGACAATAATTTATTGTACATTTAAAAATAAAAGAGTATAATTGGATTGTTTGTAACAATAAGGAAAGGATAAATGCTAAAGAAGGATACCCCATTTACCCAGATGATTATTACACATTGCCTGTATCAAAATATCTCATGTCCCCCATAATTATATACACCTACTATGCACACACACATATTTTTTTTAAAAAAGGAATTTGCATTGGTGACAACACTAATCTGAAATTCCATTTATTTCCAACAGTGGCTGACCCCTAATCTGAATTCTTGAAATGATAACTGGGAGCAAGACTTCATTGCTGTCCACTGAAGACCCCTGACCAAAAATAAAAGGCTTGGATATCTCATGTCAATCACTCAAATCGCCACCACTTAGTCATTTTTTCCTCTCTTTGGATGTAACATACACACATTTCCAGAAATTAGAGAATATCTAAGAAATAAATCAGAGTTAAATTAATAGTCTATGGAGAAATGAGAGAAATTAGGAATTTATTCCTTCTTTGATTGCCTCTTTGGTCCTAGATGTTGGCAGATGGATATATGATTGTAGTCACATAAGGAAAACTAAAGCTGAAACAGAAACAGAATAACCCAGGTGATCAATTTCTGTATAATCCACCACCCATGGCACCATCAATCCAAAACGTTACATACTAAAGTGCTGCCTATTTTGAGATGAGACTTCTTGTCCCCCAAAATAATTAGCTAGTACCAGTTTTCTACTAGCAAAAGGCACAGACAAAGATATTCTCCATTGTCAAACTTGTCTTTCCACATGGAAATTTAACCTAAATTTTCAGAATCACTGTTTTCACCAGTCCAGATTTTACCAACTATATCTAGCAGTTACAATACTTGCAAGTTGTAGTATTAACAGCAGAGGAAGCTTCTGGTGTCAGTTTTACTCTTTATGTGGAACTTTACTTCCTAAATATGTGGATCTTGAACATACTAACCACAATCTTTCAAACTATGCTAAAATTTACCCATGTCTTCATGGTAAAAAAAAAAGTTAAGATAAACACAGTTCAGGAATGCTAAAGCTTCAGCCAACCCAGCACTAGTTTATGAAGATTTAAAAACTGGACACTCAAGACAATGCCTGTTTTCAGAACTATAAGCCATTGAAGTCAAAATCTTACGTAAAACAGCCAGCTCTGGGGAGGCACTGAATTGCTTTGGTAAAGACTTTTCTAAGTGTTTTTTTTTTTAATTCCTTGATATTTATTACCAAATTATATTTTTTTAATTCACTGGTTTTTCTATGTTTTTATTTATTTTTCCCCTAGGTTATTGGGGTACAGGTGGTATTAAGTTACATGTGCAAGTTCTTTACTGGTGATTTGTGAGATTTTGGTGCAACCATCACCTGAGCAATATACGCTGCATCCTATTTGTAGTCTTTAATCCCTTGCCCCTTCCCACCCACTCCCAACAGGTCCCCAGAGTCCATCATTCTTATTCCTTTGCATCCTCATAGCTTTGCATCCTTAGCTCCCATATATCAGTGAGAACATATGATGCTTGGTTTCCATTTCTGAGTTCCTTCACTTAGAATAATAGTCTCCGATTTCATCCAGGTTGCTGCAAATGCCATTAATTCATTCCTTCTTGTGGCTGAGTAGTATCCCATCATGTATATATGCCACAGTTTCTTTACTTACTAGTTGATTGACGGGCATTTAGGTTGGTTCCACAGTTTTGCAATTGTAAACTGTGTTGCTAGAAACATGCTTATGCAAGTATTATTTTCATATAACGACTTCTTTTCCTCTGGGTAGATACCCAGTAAGTGGGATTGCTGGATCAAATGGTAGTTCTACTTTTAGTTCTTTAA